TTTTGCCCACCCCTCATTCATACAAATTTTGATACACACATTTCTGCATGTTTGGCTTTGCATGGCCAAAGAGTCCTTGTTAAATTTCTATGGCATTTAAAAACCCTCATTTTTTGGCCCCCACACAGGATGGTTGAGCAAAACACAAGAGAGAAAGCACTACATTTTTGGACAATACTATGTTTTGGCATGGAAAGGCAGGTTGGTCATACTCTTTTAAGACCTTTGGCTCATTTTACGGGCTCAGCACAAATCTGTGCTAAAGGTCACGTCTTGCTTGGCAGATACCAAACAACTCTCACTCTACACCAAATTAGTTGAAAGTATTATAACATGTACAGGCACTTTGTAGTGAAAATATAAAAACAGCATGATGTTCTGTACTTAATTCGATTGTAGAAACCATTCCAAACCTTCAGACAATCAACGGATATTTGACCTGTTGCTGCTAATTATGACGATGATTACAAATATTACAATGAATGAAAAACACTCAAGGTTAGGGTCAAGAGGTCATCACGGCCAATAATGTATAAAGTAAAGGTGTACTTAATATCAATAAAACATACATTACTCTCAGAAAAATAAGCACTTTTAAACCTGAACCTGAATTCATTTCTGCAGATCAACGTGTGTCAATATAACACAGACTATTTACTTTCTTCTTTGTATGACTACGAACAAATCACCCTGAATGATGTACCTAACCTCATAAAATATCAGAAACGAAGCAGCTTTGAGCCTGGTGAGCACTGGATAGGAGACATGAACAGAAATTAGATTTTTAAAGCCATCTACATCAAGCTTCGAGTGTTTCCACCTCGCATGGCATGGGTCTTCTCTGCGTACTTCAGTTTCTTCCCACATGCCAAACCCTCATGAACAGATTTGAACAGGCATCCCAATGCAAGATCCTCCTGAGTAAGAGTCTTGAGAGTCAGTGAGGCTTTCCTGGGGTAATACAGGTAATGTTACTATTGTTATTTATGCATTACTCTGTAATCTCTGTGCAATGCTTATCATACTTTTAAGGATTGATGCTATATCAAATCAAAGCCTACTGCGTACACCTTGGTTTCATGGGTTCAGCAGGGTGGTGCATAGGTAACCCTTGTTTATAACGTAGGCTTCCACACGTAGATGGTCGTGGGTTTGATTCCAGACACAGGTGCTTTTCTGTGTGAAATGTGTATGTTCTCTCCTTGTTCTGCATGGGTGTCCTCCATGTTCTCTGGTTTCCTCCCATAACAAAACAAAACACAAATAAAATGGCATTGGCCAAACATCCTAAAACTAAACAAATTACCAAATTTTGATTAAACACAGCATATTGCCGACAATTGTAAAAACTTGGTAGGACCCTCCCTAAAAAGAGTATTGAGGCTCAGTGAGGCCTTCCTTGATAAGCAAGCGAAATCATAAAAATAACAACAATAATGTTGTATTTAAAAGTGCACAAATGCAGACCACACTCTGCATCACTGCCCAACTGCTGTAGCAACACATGCTGGCTCCCGTCACTAAACACAGGATGCATGTGCAGCAGCTGTAGCTTTGGCTGACCCGCAGAGCTAGCGTCTTGATGCGAGCACAGTGTATACTTCCTCTGCCATTTACAGTGCCGGACACAAGCCAATTCCCAGTAGTGCCGCCAACAGGTGACACTCCCCATGACATATCCTGGCATAACCTTGGTATCTTGTAAATCTGGGCCGTCACGACTGACATGTCTTTCCAAAACAGCACGAGGCTTTCTTGTTAACGCTGGGCCGCACAGTGAGGATGGCCTCTCCTGCTGCCTTGGTGCAAAAATATTTGGTGAAAAGTCAACGCTCAAATACTTCTGTCACACTGCAAAACAATGGCGTTAGTTGTCCGTCTGTTTTGTTATTTTCATCAACTTGTAAGTTGCTTAATATGTAACTGTATAATCATTTACGTGTTGTTATGGACAAAAACATGTGTTTCTTTGGGTTTTCTCCAACTTACAAATACAATTTTAAAGCAACTAGAATTATCTATAAATACTACAATATTTGCCTTTTAACATCAACTACTTTAAAAGAGCATATGCAATTAAATAATAAATCTGATTAAATTGTGCTTAATCCCCACATCGAGGGGCTAAAATACATTTACTTGGCCATATGGCATGGCTCTCTACAAATCTACACTGCATTTAAATTCCCATAAGTGGTTTACATGCTATAAGAATTTATTCATATCATTGATAATAGCAGCAGGAGCATTGGCATGTCTACCACTTGTTGCATTGCTTCACGGTTTACAACTGGCAGGCCACCCTGGTTAACACTACAGAAGTATTAAGCACAACATCCAAGGCGTCTGCTGCACAGTGGAAGTTCAACATTGTGTGCTGGTGTTATGTTCCAAATTTTCCAAAAAATACTCGCCAATTACTTAATTGGGAACAAAGTGATCATTACCGACCCCTCACGAAAACTGAGCAAAACCCTCCTGAAAGAGTCTTGAAACTCAGTGAGACTTTCCTGGGTAAGCAAGCATATTCATAATATATAAATAAAACAAATGTAGTCGTCAAGCTGTCTAGAACATGTATTTTCTCTAGAAATTTAATCTGTAAATATCCAAAAAGAATGTGCAACTAACCACCAGGAGATGTCGAGCTCAAATCCCAGTTAGGTGCCAACTGGCATCCTTAAAATGAGCATTGATTTGTGAGAAGTGACCTGGGATTTTCACATTGCTGGATTTAGAGATAGTGACGGTTTGGGGAGGCCTTCATCCAGCAGTGGATTGATCATGGCTGATAATGATGCGCAGTGATTGTTCTGTTCATGCTCATCCATGCCATATGAACGTGGAGTGATCAAACAGGATCAGGGTTGTACATGGGTGATGGGCGCTACCGCATACTTGTTTGATTCTGAACGGAAAGTCGCTTTCACTTTTTGAATTATATTTAATTTTATACATACACAGAGGTGTGCTTACATTGAAATTAGTTTCATGACTCTTGAACGTGATTTTATATATGGTAAGTCCATCATAACAAAACAACATTAAACTAAAGTTTTGTTTATATTGCATCATATTTTACAAGAATTATCATGGGCCCTACTTTACAGACAGTGCTATCGAATAATTTTTGTTCAACTTTAGTTGAAAAGCACAACAATGAAAATCGGAACTGTTGAGGACTGCTTCAACATATGTGCATACCATACACACCACGCTCATCTTTTCAAATGAAAAGTACATTTGTGTTTTTAACTCCACTCCTGCCACGTATCAAACGTGCTGCTTTTTTTTTACTTTTCCAATTCAATATATTGCCAAGATTCCACCAGGTAGCAACATTGATACTGGACGACTCCTGAACCCACAGAGTACCACACAAAGTGAAACCCAAGCATGTGTCAGCTGCAGCATAAACGACAGCATTCAGGCTGCTGAAGAAGTCGCTGCTTATGCACAAGCAGTGGCACAGTAGCGAGGTTGGCATGGCCCTGGGTATAAGGAATTAAATGGGGCCCCCTGTCCAATGTCCCCTCCTCTTCATTGCCCGGTGCTTGGGCCCCTTCATTCCATGTGCTTTGATGCAATTGCACCACCTGCACTCCCCAGGTTTCCCTTGCAAAAAGAGGCAATGATATTCTTGGCAATTTCGGTAAAGATAAAACGTAATATATGTTTTATTTTCTCTTCTACGTGACTATACCGAAAGACCCAAGAATATGAATCCCGGCAGTCACGAAAGCTTTAAATCGAGAAGAGGCAATGATGTTCCATACGTCTCAATGGGTTTGTTTAATCTCCTGTTTAAATAACAGATACAATAATAAAGAATATTAATTCCTGCAGTCACGAAAGCTTTAAGTCATGAAATGTAATTAACAAATACACGCTATCCTACCTTCGCTTGCCATATTTATAATTCAATAATTGTGCTATACACATTCTGCTGTGACCCATATCTGTCCTGGGGTGAGGCCACGTAGTAATTTTATGCCAAAAACTACGTGAAAATGTATTAATGTGAATCCGTGGTTCATCGCGGAGGTTACACCGAATAATCCAAAAGAACGTGTTCATGCCAACGCGGTATGCATTGGATTGTTGGACAAAAAACCACCCCATCCAATTACTCCGCGACATTCACTGACTACAAGGAAACCATGGCACGTGACTAACAGCTAAATTGATCCAAAAATAATAGATTATAAGGTTATTAGTTTTTCTAAAATCCAAATGCTGCAAATCTGCCATGAGGTTTTATGTTTGAGGAGTTTTTCTTACAATTTAGAGACTTGATTTCAAAGTCAGAAAAATTACAAATTTTGTATACTTAACAAATCACATCAGCGCAGCTTGTTTGTTCAGATGTAAAATATAAAAGTATGCAAACCTTACCTCTGCATTTTCCCTGCAGCTCCACTCCTGCAGATCTGTTAGTTCTGCCCATGTCTACAGATAGCGGTTTGCAGTTCGTAAATAATTCTCAATCAGGCACAATGTGCTGCGGTGTACGGGAGCAATTACAGGGATTTGTGGATTTTTGGATCACAGATTATGATTTCTGCTGTAATGCAATATTTACCTACCCAGAGGCGCCTCACTGGGTTTGAGACTGTTGAGGCTGTTTCAGCAGTTTTTGAGTGTTTCGCATGTCTTAACATACATTTACATCTGAAACGTATTTTTTTTCCTTGCATGGGTCACTTGGATTTACAATATGTTGACTATAATAAGGTGAGAGAAATTATATTACGAGCAACCTTGAGTGGGCTTCACCTGGAGCACGCAGAGAAATTCCAACAGGTGATTGATTGAATAACGCTGAAACGTCTGCACAGACGAGTTTTCAAACCTGCTTACTATACTGCCATCTCCTGCCCACCTCACATCCCAGGGGGTTTACAAAGTTTTACATCAAACGCCACATTCAAAGCAGTGGATTGCAGGCATGCACCACCGCTTACACTTCCAGTGTTTGTGCATCATTGCCCGTGGCTCACCTGGAATCTTCTTAGCCCAGGTGATCATGTGCACGAGCTCTCGGTCAGCCAGGCTGGTGAGAGCAGCCATGAGCGAGGCCTCCGTCACAGGCTTGTCGGGGTCATACGAGGACAGTACGGTGGGTGGCTCAGCCTCCAGAAGAGCCGAGATCACCTGGTCAGCCTCGAGTGAGCTGACGGCGCTCTCCCGGTCCCTCGGCCCGGAGGGCCTCTCACCCTGAGGCCTCGTCTCGCTCACGTCTTGGCCGCCGCCGCCGCCTCCTCCTCCCCCATTCTTCTGGGGGATGGGGCGCTGACGTTTGTGCTTGACCCCTCGAAAGCCTTTGCGGTCCTTGCGAACGCCTCCCCAGAGAAACGGAAAAGAACAACGCATTTACATTATAACACACTTTTCTATGCAGGAAAGCTTCATTGAGTCTCAACTCTGATGCAGGAGAGTCTTGCCATTATTTTTGCGAAAGTTAACGAACTTGGAGCATTACATTGGCATGTAATGGCCTACTCTTGTTAAAATAACATCATAGGCCTTTTAAGGTACACTTTGACACAGACAACGCATACTATTTTATGGTTAATACACACGCAGTATTAACAAGGGTGACCTGCCGAATTCCAACCACACAGCTATTCAAACTCTTTAAAAACAGTATATGCATCACTTAACGTACTTTATTTTTTATACTGTAATAATAATAATGACGAATCTTGACTTAAAGCTTTCGTGACTGCAGGAATTCATATTCTTTGGGTCTTTCGATAAAGTCACGCAGATAGGTTCAAAGAAAATAACAAAAAACTACGACGTTTCGATCGCAACACAAGCGGTCGTCATCAGGAAAAGGGGGTTGGCTTCTAAAGGCAAACTGTTTATAAAGGTGTAGTGTCTTGAAAATCACTCAGACGGACACATTGTAACAAGTCACCTGCTTACACTTTATTAACCTATTCTTGCACCAGCTGTTGGCACTCCTAGAACTATCTACACGACCACTTAGATATAACTTCTTCCACTCGTCTCTACGTTACACCTCACCTATCCTCCCATCGGCAGCCCTGCTCCCAGCGACTCCACACTCAGCTTAGTCGCACTCAGCGTCTTCCCACACAGGGGCTTCGCACACAGCGCCTCAGCACTCAGCTTCTTCTCCACACACAGGCTTGCACACAGCGCCTCAGCACACAGCAGCTTCTCGCACTCCACCGCTGCCCTCAGTCCCACTCACTCGTCTGTCCCGGACGGGGGGATCAACCATCACCCGCCCGGCGACTCGTGAGGGTTGAGGTCCGTTCACGGCTTGAGCGGCAGTGGCGAGATGTCTTCACTATTGTCCCCATCAACAACCACACTTGGCTCACTCACCTCTCCTTATATCCCCCTGTCAATTATCCGAGACCTCCCCTGCGTCTCTTTAAGGATAGCCAGGCTGCCACCTGTCAGCCCATTAATCAACCCTTATCTCCCGTCTCCCTGGCAACACCTCCAGTGTCAGTGTGCAAACCCGGCCGGCCCGGTTTGCACCCGCTTAGACCCTTAATTAGGTAGCGCTTTGTTCGTGCAACCCCATGTTGCACATGCACACCTGTTTAAAAGTGGGCGTAGCTCAAGTGTCAGCAGCATGGGCGGGGCAACTAATGTTAATGTAAGGGATTAAAGACGGTGTGTCCCCCCCCAGCATGTAGGGTGGTGCTAGCAGGTGATGTAGGGCAGTACACGAGGTGATGGTAGTAGTGGGAAATGATGATGTTGGTGGTGGGTTTCCACCAATTACAGGGCTGTCAGTTAATCATTGCACCTCGCTTTACACACTCATACTAGTGACAAACCATGCTCAAAAATGCTTAGCTTAACTTACAAGATCCGATGAGGTTGGATGCAAGCCATTTACATTGTGGTCAATGTTAAAGACCTTAACAATATAAATGAAACAGAATATCATGTGTCACTCTTGGTTGTTGTATTTTGAAATTGTATGAGCAATCTACATTGGGCAGAAAGTAATGCAGGGTGTGGCCTAACTCCTTGGCTCAGAGGGCACATTATACTAATTTCAAGTGATTGTCATGTATCGTTCATAATGTAAAATGCACGATATGGAATGTCATCTTACAAATCTATTCCCTGAGGCAAATATTGCATATATACATTTTATAAATCTTGATTAAAAGCTTTCGTGACTGCAGGAATTCATATTATTTGGGTCTTTCGGTAAAGTCACGTAATAGGTTCAAAGAAATAAACAAAAATAACAAAAAACTACGACGTTTTTTTTGCAACACAAGCGGTCGTCATTAGGAAAAGGGGAGTTAGCTTCTAAAGACAACTGTTTAAAAAGATTTGAAATGGGCGTAGCCCAAATGTCAGCAGCCAATGTTAATGTAAGCGGTGGTCAGCGACTGCGGCGGTGGTGGGTTTTCCACCAATCAAAGAGCTGCCAGGTAAAAATGAGCATGCTAATGGAAGATCGCTGAGCAGCAACCTCAGGGGTGGCGCGCAAGGTAGCTGTGTTAGTGTGAGATATTTAATCTGTTAATGTAAAAAATGTAAAAATCAGAGAGATGAAAATAACAACTAGAGAGCCCCCAATCAGATTCTCACGGATCAGGGCCGGAATTTCTCATCAAAGCTGCTGCGCGAGGTGTGCGACGCGCTAGGCACTAAGAAAATTATAACGTCACCATACCATCCCCAAACGGATGGTATGGTGGAATACCTGCACAGAACTTTGACATCTATCCTCTGTCAGGCGGTCAGCGTGGTGCAAACCGATTGGGATTTGCACATCCCGGGGGTCTTGGCAGCGTACAGGATCGCCCCACACACTTCCACGGGATTTTCGCTGTTTTTCCTTATATACGGGAGGGAGAATGAACCCCCCATGGAGGTCCAATTGGGCATGACAGGGGGCAAGTGAAAAACAGCCATGCCCATGCCCCTGCAGGTTACGCTGAGTCTCATATCGGCAGCACGCGACGCGGCTAAGGTAAACACCGCACAAGCGCAGGTGGCCAATGAAAAAAAAACGCGGGGCGCCATAAGCGTGTGCTTCCATGGGCCATCAGGGACAGGACATGGTTGAACTGCCTGCAGGTGCCCCTGGGCATGTCCCCTAAACTGCATCGGCCACGGCAGGTTCCCATGGAAGTGGTGGAAATTAAATGGCCACAGTGTATACAGGTGAGGGGTCGTCGTTGGTTTGTCCATCCGTCACGTCTGAAACTATATGTTCCTCCCCAAACTGACAGCAACTCCAAGCACCGTACGGCCGGTGTCTGATGTGTCCGATGAGCCGGGGGAATCGACCATGGAGAGCGTGCATCAGAAAGATTGTGTTGTGCCGCCCACAGTTTCTGAGCCCCTGAAGGTCGCGGAGTCACAGGATCCCGCTGCGTGCAATGGACTGCTGGCTGCAGCCAGGTTTACGTCTTCTAAAGAAAGGGGAGGAGCCGACCCCTTTAAGGCTTATATACAAGTCCCTATCGCCCAGAGAGAAGCCAAAGTTTGCCCCCCAAAGATGGATTGGCGTCAAGGACCCGGTCGAAATGTGCCATATTCCGTTAATAGGAACCTCCCTGTATGTGGTGTTGCGTCGGGGTCGGGTTGCGAGCGACGCGTGTCAGATTGTATTTTCTTTTTTCTTTTCTCTCTTTCCTTACTGTTATTACTGATGTTAGGTTTTTTTTATATTCTTCTCGCCTTGTGGAATTGTTCTGCCCTAAGCTGTATAATTGTTGTTGGTATTAGCCGGGATGGCTATTTTTTTAACATGGGGGGGGGGGGGAGGGGGTGATGTAGTGGCAGTATGCCATCTGGTGGCCATGGGGGATAACTACGGGTATGGGCGCATTATAGAATGACACATATGCAAGCAATCACCAGGGGGGTGTAACTGAGCCAAGGGTCAAGGAGGGGATCGAAATGAAGCTCCTGGAACCTGCGAGAGAGTTCCAAAAGAGGGGTGTAGCCAAGGGGCGGGGCTTGGCCACGTTGGGTGAATAAAAGGGAGAGGCAAACGGGGGTTTGGGGGCTGTCATGGGGGTTCAGGTCCTGGCTGTCGTCGCTGTTATCGCTGCCATCTCTTCATCGTCGTCGTCGCTGCATAGCCAGCTATACAGTCTTCATCTTCGCTGTCACTATATAGTCAGCCAGCTATATAGTTGTATATCGCCGATGTGGCTGAATGAGTGGCTAAGCTATAAGTCAGTCAGCGCTTATGTTACTCTGTGACCCTGTCCTTAAGTATTAAAAATAAATAAATCCCTCTACAAGTCGTGCCTCGAATGTCGTCTCATTATACATGTATGCAGTACATAATGCGTGGTGTGTGTGACAGGGGAGCAGTGGTGCAGTGCTCGTGAGCTGCAATACAAACTCAATGACTTTAGATCAATCCCTGGCCATGGATAACATCAGTGGCAAATGGAATCTGAACCTACGTTGGCCCTCACCTAACATCAACACTGGGAGAACTAGGGAGACAAAGGCAATCATTGATGGCATATTCCAAAAAAATCATCAAAATCATAGGCCTTTGTGTCTCGAGAGACAATTCTTTTTGCGCCTTACGAGGTCAGCTGTAGGTTTTGCAGCGCCTAGAATGACTTAGTAGGCCAATCCTTGAGTGGGGATCCTTGCCACAGCAATTGAATGCGGTGGCAGCTCCAGAGGTGTTTGTTGCTTTTTCTTAACGTCGCTCCCCCTTGGTCTGCCAAGCAGTGTGTCTTTTCTCCTCGCCTCTCCTGAGGCCTGTTTTCACAGCCTGCTGCCAGCTGAGTTGGTCATCGGCAGTTTTCTCCCAGTCATTTGGGTTGATGTCGCAGCTCTTCATATCCCGTTTACAGACATTTTGAAGCGCAGGACTGGGCGACCAGTGACCCGTGTGCCTGATGCCAGCTCGCCATACAAGACATCCTTCGGTATTCTGCCATCCTGCATGCGGCGCACGTGTCCAAGCCATCTCAGACGCCTTTGACCGAGTAGAGAGTATGTACATGCTGGGAATGTTGACCATGTTGAGAACTGAGGTGTTGGGAATGCGATCTTGCCATCTGATATTGAAGATGCGCCTGAGACATCGGAGGTCGAATGTGTTTAGTCGATGTTCTTGATGGGCGTATGCTGTCCAGGACTCAGACCCATAGAGGAGGGTGCTAAGGACGCAGGCCCAATACACTTGTACTTTGGTGTTGAGTATTAGGGATTTCTTCTCCCACACTCTTTTAGTCAACCTGAACATAGTTGTAGATGCCTTCCCAATGCGCTTGTCAATCTCTGTGACAAGGGACAAATTGTAGGTGATGGTAGAACCCAAGTAGGTGAAGTCCTGAACGATTTCCAGGGTGTA